ATATATAGTTTATATTGAGAGTTCAAAAATATACTTAGCATGAAATACCTATTTAAGAAAGAGAAATGCAGCTTAGAATGCACGTCTGGACATATCTATTTAAGAAACTGGCTCAAAATGCAGGATGACAAAAAATTTGGTTAAAATCTGCATCTAAGAAAATGGACGTCACCTTTGATTGTGTATTTTAAAAGAATTAACCAGAGATTCAAATAAATTCTTAGAACAAAAATAAAACCTTTATTAACTATGAATTAAAGATTAAATTACTAACAAGCAGTCGTCTAGTTTCCCTGAATCTATTTTTTTAATTCCTAATATTAGTTCACGCTCTCCCTCTATCTTGTTCGAATTTCCAATCCTTAATTAAATACTTTTCATTCATCCACTATCAAGTACAAATAAATTTTTTTAAATTTGTAGTGAATGACACTTGATGTTAATACAGTTTTTTCAAATATTAATGAATTAATTTTATTTTTATATAGAAGAAAAAAATTGTAATTACTTAATTAAAAGAAAAAAAATTTACTGACTTTAAGAAGAAAAAATTTCTATTACTTTTTCTCGAAAAGTAAGAACTGTAAATCAGTGTCATTTTGGAAAATTTTCATGTATTTCATTGTTTAAACAGTTCCAAAAATTGGATGAAGTAAATAACATTAAGAGACTTAACTCTTATGATTTATAATTTTAAAATTAAAACTAACCCTCAGCATATTTCAAGGAGCTAGCAGGAAAAAGTAGCTGTGTTTTTTATCAAGAAAGTACGCTTTGAGACTTATTTTATGACATAATGTTTGAACAATTAGCATATTTAAAATTTGCTTTTTTGATCATTAAGATTCTCCTATATCATAATGAATAGGTGTTACTCAAAATTTATATTTAAAAGAAAAGCTAGATTTAAATGTTTTCGTTTTTAATCTATCGCATTGAAAATTTTTAAAAACCCCTCCCAAACAAAAATTTCTATATGCAACATTGAATTTGGTTTGATATCAAACTTAAGGATATTTAAACATATTTGGTCCCACAATGGACTGATCGTTAAGACACGGTTCCCAGCAGATCACCGAAGTCAAGCATCACTGGCTGCGGTCAGTGTGAGGGTGGGTGACCACTTGGATCAGCCTGCGCAGGGACAGAGGGTGTGCGGGGTGGGTCCTTGTTAAACTATTCTACCGTAAAGTGCTCAACTTCGCGTGCAGGTCGTTGGGCTACCGAAGGGGGGGGGTGTCATCCCCTCTGTAGAGGATCAAAATTGTGATGCCTTGTCTTCGGATCATCCTTAGGGATGTTTCCCAGACCGTCGCCAATAGCCCATTGTGCAGCTCTAGTGCTACGTAAATGAACTACAACTTAAACATTTTTGTGTCTATTTTCTCAAACACGTATTTTAAGCTATATCCAAGCTAACCTCGTGGACGATTTTACGTGCTGAAAAATGGGAAAACCACGTTCTGCGTAAGATTATCGTCAATATAATTTAATTTAATCGAAAGTTCTCTCAAACTAATTTGAGTAAATAGCAAAAACCGGTAAAAAGTCTTGCAATAATTTAGAAATTGCTTAACTGTAACTCAACCACAGAGGAACCTTTTTTTTTCGCTTTTCTGAAATTTTAAGTTTATGTTCACACTTTTGGATGTTTCACTACATCAACCTCTTAGTGAATCATTCAGTAACACTTCATGATTACAGTAAGATACGGTTATTTTTACGAATTTACAGTAATTTTAAAAATTAAAGTAATCTATAAAATTACGAAAATAAGAAAAATTGTGATTGTATTATTGCAATCACTGGTTACCCATTATTGGTCAAATGTTTCTTTTTCTTCCTTAATAGACTTTCATGAACAAAAATTGTCATTGGTTGTAAAAACTGCATCAATTTAATTCCCATCTAAACGTTGTTTTTTGGTTTTCATTTCCAGTCAATATACATTTCACACAATATTTATATCATATAAAATAACGATATTTATATCATATACACACAATATATATATGGACGTCGCAATATTTATATCTCCATTAAATAACCACCGAGATAGTTATTATAAATAAGTAAATCGCAAAATGAATAATTAAATAATTTAAATTAATATTACTTAAAAACATTAAAAATATTCGCTGAGGAAATTAAAAGAAAAAACTCAGAGGTGAACTCCAAGGAATTGCAAAATTGTGATTTTTTCTTTGATCTTACTGTGTCGATTTTTTATTAATGCTTATGTGGACTTTATTTTTTATGACTCGCACAATTCTATTTTTGAGATTATGGTTTTGAAGTTGATCGAAATTGCTCAGTGCATTTTAAAGTTTTAACTTACGACAATATTTAACTAAACTCACCAACTTAATGCATAACAAAATTAAAAGGGAAAAAAAGAATTATCAAACAGCAGCGGTCGCCATAGGAACGCATGCAATGACGGCGCATGCGCACTGTTTACTATTACTCTTGAACACAGTTGAAAAGTGTGATGCCAATGGGTAAAATAAAATTGGTCCGTACATCTTTAGTAAATAAACAGAGAGAATACATAGGCTTCAACAGATTATGCATTAAAAGATTATTTAATACATTTTATAGAGACTTAAAAATATACACATAGTTTTACGGGTTTTTTTTCTCTAGAAGTTTTAGCAGCATAGAAACGAACAACAAACTCACGTCATCTCTTACTCGATTGTAAACAATCTATGCAGATATCCAAAGTATGCTAAAATTTGTGTTTTAAAAAGCGAAAATAATTCCATGAATGACGGGAAGCTTGATTTATGATTTATCTATTATTAATGTTTAAATTGAAGTATATGTGACTGTTTAATTTGCAAAATTATTATATATATATATATATATACCTCTTACTATCAGGAACGAATTGTTTGATAACAATAATAGTAAGATAAAATTTCAAAGTGATCTATACTCACCATCAGCCTTTAAAAGCTCCGCTAATTTCTTCCATAAATTAAGGTTTTTTGCAGAATCCCTAAATACTGCTCTGCTAGNTACAAGCAAACTTAATGATCCTCACACTATTGTATTAATATATTTTGCTTTGGCTTTATTGATACAATATCAGAAAGCACTCTGTTTTGCGGATATAATCGTGTGGGCTGAAAAAAAGATTATATCTTTTTTTTCCGGTTTTTTTTTTCTTCCGGTTTTTTAAATAAAATTTCATCCTTTTTTTTTTTTTTTTTCAACTGCTTGTTATTTTTTTACTTATTATTCCCCCCCCCCTTTTTTTTTCATATGTCTATAATTTTTCTTTGTTTTATTCTTCATTTTGAACTTATATTTCTAGGCTATGCATTGCATATGAGCTCCAGCTTAATAGTGCGAAATTGTTATGGTTTTTTCTCAGTGGCGCCGAAACCAGATGTTTAATTTGTCTAAGGGCAAGATTCTATACAGAAATATGGCCAAAATTAACGAACATATTAAAAACATTATTTAATATTTCTTTTTTTTTTCATTGCCACTTATTCTTCAAAGTTGTTACTGTTTTTACATTAATTTTATACTTAATACTGAATCGAACAGATTTATTCAAACTGTTTGGTTTCAATCAATTGCTGTGAAATTAAAAAATCTGTAACCACTGTAAAAGAACCACTGATCCAAAAATACAAAAAATTTTAGCAAAGCAATTCCAAAACAGAGAAAATTTTGGCCGCGTTTTTTTTTTTTTTCTCTTTTTTTTTTTGATCCAAAAAAAAATATCTCACATCGTACTGATAAATTGCGCTGCAAGTTGAAAGAAACAAAATATC